ACTCTGAGGTCGGAGGTCAGACGTTAGTTTGCACACTGGGTTCTAAACTCAAAATCCAAAGACCGTTCACAGTTATTGCAGAATGAGACGGATATTTCTATGTGTTTATCTGTGTTACTGCATTTACAATTGACTCCATAATGTTTAGATTTAATCGGCGTGATGAAGAGTGAACATTGTTTTTATGAAACACCTTCCAGGTCTCCAAAAAAAAGATGGACGTATTTTCAGTTCCTTTCATGACCAAAATAAACACATTCTCTCTGGAACCAATTAGTCAACTGATGATGTTGCTTTTCTCTTGTTTACAACACACACACACACACACACACACACACACACACACACACACACACACACACACACACACACACTCGCCCTAAATGTTTCAAAATAGTTGTAATTTATTCAAATTTCATGGAAGATTTTTTTTTTGCCCAACAAAGCAGCACCATATTAAACAACATGTGCTTATTTAGTAATTATGGTCAACATCTGGTGCAGATGTTCAGGAGAGAGCAGCAATAAGCTCCTGCTGTGGTTCATCTGTGACCCTCTGAAGGTGGTTTCACATATTGACTCATACGAATGAGACGTTTTAAACTAATGTCTCATGAAGCAGAGAGCTGCTGGTGTTTCCTGTGTGACGGTTGTGGCTGAAGAAACCTTTCTCTTTAAGAAAGTACACATATAAATTATGAACATGGGAAACTAAATGTAATTCCCAGAAACAACTAAATAAAATAATAATAAGACTGTAGGAACCTCTGAATGATTTATATGAAGTATTTATTCTCTTTATTTGTGTTCAGGACAAAACACAGATTAAACAGTTACTTAGTAGTACTGCTAGGTTTACACACTACACAGTAGTACTTCTTGCTGTACACTACAGTAGTAGTTCTCATTTTACTACTCAGTAGTAGTTCTTGTTGTACATTAGTACTTATCAGCTTAAACTCCAGAGCGACAGATATTTGCTCCCTCGCTGAACGTGAAGTCAGTCTGAATCTCTGAATATCTCTTTACCGGCCTATAAAGGAGCTGCACAAATCTTATCTCATTATTCCCATTAACCGAAAATCTATCTGGATTGAAAGTTGGCAAGATATTCACTTCACATATTCACTATTCGCCATCCAGAAGCCTCACAGCTCTTCATCACGAGAGACAAATGCAAAGTCAACCGTAAACAACAAACAAATGCAGATTCCAGACAAAACAAAAGCAGAAGTCTTCAGGACGGAGTCAGCGGCTCCTCAGGAGGAAACCAACAGGCTCCCCGGGGATGGAAGTCATGGTATCCATGGCGACCGCATACCCATCGCACCCGCTCACACACACATGGCTGCTCCATTAAGGGAAAACAAATCTAAACTACCGTTATTTTGTAGCATCGTACATTCAAGAAAAAACTTGTTTATGCTCTCATTTTAGAGCTAATTGGCTCTTTGCACTTTAAACGTAATATCAAAGACTAAATGAAGAACTTCGGCCACTTGTAGACATATTAATCATAAATATGGTTGTAAAAATACGTGATGACGCAGAAAATAAAATGGCGGATGGCAGATAGTAGGAAGCAAGATGGCGGACGCCAGAAATCCAGATGGCGGATGGTAGAAACCAAGATGGTGGATGGTAGAAACCAAGATGGTGGATGCAGAAACCAAGATGGCGGATGGTAGAAACCAAGATGGCGGATGGTAGAAACCAAGATGGTGGATGCAGAAACCAAGATGGCGGATGGTAGAAACCAAGATGGCGGACGGTAGAAACCAAGATGGCGAATGGTAGAAACCAAGATGGTGGATGGCAGAAACCAAGATGGCGGATGGTAGAAACCAAGATGGCGGATGTTAGAAAGAAAGATGTCGACGGCCAAAAACCAATATAGAGAAAGCCCCAAAACCAAGATGATGTCAAAAACCAAATCGCAATTTCAAAAACCAAGTTGGCGATGAGGTCAACCAAACTCAAGATGGCAGCGGCCGAGAGGAGCAGGAGTCTTCCACGACCAAAAGGAACATCATCACATGAGTGAATTAATAAGTAATACTTTCAGGAAAAAAAGATGAACAGTATGCTCTGCACAATAACAATCCATATCGAATTACATAACAAAAACATGGAAAAAGGCTGATGTCCATTGACATTAATATGCTGTTTAAATCAGTGGATATCAATACGCCTTTCATGTAGAAATGTACAATTAAACTTTATACATTCAGGAGTTTGAAATTGTTCATAATTTATGTTTTCAACACTAGATGCACATGTTGTTTTGGGTGAAGACGGAGGAGAGAGAAATCTCTGCTCCTCTCTCGCTCCAAACACACTTCCTGTTGCCTCCCGTGTGTCAGGAAACAGACTCTCAGGAGCTTTGAGGGTGAATTAGAACCGGACGAGGCGTCGGCAGAACTCAGCTTTTCCATTTTCTCCTCCGTCTGATATTCTTACACTTATCTGTATGAAGATAACGTGGAGATGGAATTTCCTTCCTGCTTCGTCCCAGGGTGAACAAGCACCATCTTACATGCTTTTATTTCAAAAAGACTAAGGTAGAAATATAGGCGTGAAATCTGACCCACAACTTTCACCGCAATGAAAAGTAACTAAATAATAACGCAATAGGAATTTCAATGGGAATACGGCATGCTGATCAAATGCAGGTCAGAAGTTCAGAACGCAGGAACCATCAGAAGTGTAACGGAGTGAAGAACAGGAAACAACTGAGGAAGTTCTCACTTGACCCCTGACCCCTGTTCAGGTCACTATCAGCACCGACGTCTACTTCCACGTCGGTGAACCTGCCTCCGCAAGGCCCAGCAAACCCGGAGGAGAAAAGTGGCAGAAGAGGAAGTGCATCATCTCCAGATCCACGTTTGGAGCAAATGGGTTTTTTTGTGCGTTGAAAAGTCAGCAGTGGAAATCAGCGAGCACTCATGGCCTCATGGCCTCATGGTCTCATAGTCTCATGGCCTCATGGTCTCATAGTCTCATGGCCTCATGGTCTCATAGTCTCATGGCCTCATGGCCTCATGGCCTCATGGTCTCATAGTCTCATGGCCTCATGGTCTCATGGTCTCATGGCCTCATGGTCTCATAGTCTCATGGCCTCATGGCCTCATGGTGGACGATGAAAGCAGGTAGCAGGTGCAGGCTGTCATAGACGTTAATTAAGACATCTCAGGGTAAAGGACCACACCTGACACTTATGTAAATGAGCGGAGGTACAGACGATTCCTCGGATGCTCTGATGTGGGAGAGAAGATCACAGGGTTTTTTATGTTTTGGGTAAATGGTTTATTGGTGGTCGTACCGGCTGAACTGACCAGTGACTTTTGGTGCTGAAATAATCCTGTGATTCATAATCAATGGAGAAGCAATAGGAATTCTTGATCAGCTAATTGTTTATCAATAGACTATAAATAGAAAACTTCAGCTTGAAATAGAAGAATTAGTTTACGTTGTAAATGTTCATGTCAGAATGTTGGCGCTCAGTTTGAAGAACCTCTGACTTATGACCTCTTGTTTAATTACACGACTCAAGTGAGACGCTGATATCGTTTTGTGTCGCCAACAGAAAAGAAAAGGAGTCACTTAAAAACACAACGTTAGACGACATCTATGACCGGTAACGGTCCCGTGAGCGGAGCGGCGCGAGGAAACGATGGCCGAGCAAACAGGAAGCTGCGTGGGTTTGTTTCTTTAGACACTCCAGCGTTTCAAAAGAAATCCAAACTAATTCTGGGTGGATTGAAGAAAAGATGGCGAATACATTTCATATCGTTCGACGTCTGATGAATTATGACAACAAGGGGACCTGACAATCCTTTCATGGAATAAAGTACCAGCACAAAACATTCAGATTCATCCCATCCAGACGAGTTCAAAGCTCCAAACAGTGGATCCGAACCCTCACCGGCATCACGAGTCTGCTGGCTGCACCTTTGGGCCTCACACACAGTCCTACAGAACGTACAACACGGATGAGTTTGTATTTTACACGCAAGGAAGTGCTTCAGAGGACTTTTGCTGTTTTCAACTGCTGCATTCTCTCTAGTGACCACCAGGGGGCGACTCTTAAATACAGAGGACCTGTCAATCAGCGTGTAGCCCCGCCCTAAAGCGTCCCCTGCTCCGTGGTCTGTTTCACTCCAAATGGAGCATCATTCACTGAATGAACATCATGTTGTGTTGAAGACTTGAAACTAGAGACTGAGACCATAAACTCATGTTTACAACGTTTACTGAGGGAATAAATCCAGACAAGAAGAAAAGTAAACACTGTGACCTCTGTTAGCACCGTTAGCTTCTAGCCGCCATCAAGACGCCGTTCTCCGTCATAGAATCGCTTGGAATTTGGAATTTAGCACCGTGAAAGAGTTTCATCAATGACTAATAAACTATTAAGTGGTGCCTTATGGATCCGTTTTAAGCCTCTTAGGGGGCCGTGGGTTGCCAGGTCGGGATAATCCTCCTCCTCCAGCAGTCTTTGTCAGCAGGGCTTTGATCCATTCAAAAAGACTTTTATTAACGTGAACACATGCAGCCGTTGTTTCCTCCATTAATCAACTCATAGTTTAATCTATAAATACACAGAAGGTCTCAGGCGTGAAGAAACGTGATTTACAGATGAAAGCTGATGTTCACAATGCACGCTTTAGAAACAATAATCATATTAACTTTTCGTCCATCCACTAAGAAATTAATCCAGTAATTATTTTCGCTTCCGGATCAAACGACGTTGATTTACAAACAAAGACTTTATGGGGAAAAACTAATTTTGTAATTGGTGAATATTTTTTAGAACAAACAACAAAAAAAGGAAATAAACATCCGAGTGCAACTAATGAACCGAAGATATAGTTTCCATCAACGACGAGAACGGGGGTCGACCTTCTCCATCCCGAGCCGCCAGCGTGCGTAAAAAGTGCGTCCAGGGGACCGAACTCACTTCCGAGTGTCTCCGAAGTCTCTACCGGCCGCGCGCTTACCTCGGACGTCGTCCTGGTTCCTCTTTTATTCCCTTCGTCCGGTCCTCGCTCCGCGGGGTTATTTGCTCCCTGATGCCGCTCCGAGCCGCCGACTCTCCGCGCGCACCGCGGCCAGTGGGGGGGGGAAGGGGGGACTTTAACCCTGATCTCCCCGAGAGAAACCCGACCGCTGCCGCGCTGCAATTCAATCCGAGGCGACAGACGGTGAGCGCGGTTCCGAGTTGCTCGTCTCCCGCCCGGGAGGTTGAGGAGGAGGAGGAAGAGGAGGAGGATGAGGAAGATGAGGATGAGGAGGAGAAAGAGGATGAGGAGGAGGAGGAGGAGGAGAAAGAGGAGGAGGAGAAAGAGGAGGATGAGGAGAAAGAGGATGAGGAGGAGGATGAGGGGGGGGTTTCATCAGGAGGACACCCAGCGGGCGCCAGCCGACCAGACAGGTGGACACTTCATGCTCGGGTCGACCCAGTTGCTCCGTCTGTGGTCATCAGAGCATTCGAAAAGCCAGAAGGTCTCGACCAGCAGCTCCACTCCTGCACCGGACGTTGGACCTTCTACGGAGAGGTTCTCCCGATCGGACACAGACACCACTGATGTCCTCCTGAAGGTGGAAATCAAGCTTCGTCTGCTGAGCTGGTTCACCAGTTTATTGTGAGGTCATAAAAGATTAATAACAGCAGAAGTTGGACTGAGACGACAATAAATATGTTATAATGTAAAACATGCAGGTGCTCTTATGTCAAAGTAAATAGTAAAATATTAAGATATTTCCTCCAAACTACCAATTTAAAGGTGGCACTAAGGTTTGTAAGTAGCATCAGACCCATGAAGATCTTCATGTCAATCATCTCAAGTTGTTTTTGATAATTCACTTTAAAGTGGACAAACCAGATGTCACTGTATCAGCAGCCAACAATAAACACGACCTGATAACGTTTTAGTGGAACCACTGCACAGCACAACCAAGTTAAACGTGTGTGTAAAAATAGATGATTTTACATATTTTATATTTTTATATTTTATATTTTTTTACAGAATCTTTTAAAATATTATCAGAAATTTTCACTTATGTTTAGAACCCTATTTTAACATATTTTTCACAGCTTTTACATAATTCCATATATTTTTTACAAATCTTTTACATTTTTTTCCTTTTTTTCTACCAATTATTCCCGTATTTTCACACATTTGTCACATTCTTTCACATATTTTCCAGAACGTTTCAGGACAAAGGGGAGACGGATTCATGTGTGGACCCCCTCTTCATCACCTTCACTTCCTCTACCTCTCTGTGTGCCTCCCGGATATACTGGAGACTGCAGAGCCCCTGCAAATAAACGGTCATCGCCATGACAACCACGCCTGGAGCCAGGAACCGGATGATGTTGGTCATGGCAACGGCGGCAGGCAGCCAGCCCGCCGGCCCGTGTGAACTCCAGGGTCTGAGGCCTCACATCTTCAGCAATACTGCATTCATTTATTTGTCTAATCCCAGCAAAATGCAGGTCAAACATTCATGTTACCATCTGGAGGGATGTTAGTGTGGAAATGATCAGCTGACCAACGATGGGAAAGATTGTGAAAATTAAAACATAAACATTGTGACTATTTAAAAAAACATATACTTATATATATTATATATGTCTTAACAATATGTTAAACTCAAGGCCGGGGGTCCAGCGCGGCCCGCCGGATGACTTTGCTATTGTGAGAATTACAGAAAGACATAAATTGTACTTCTATAAAAGTAGCTGCTATTCCTAAGAAGTCCACTGGGGGGCGCACTCTGTGAGTGAGCGCATGCGGTTCACCCGGTGGACCCGGTTGATCACCAACGCAGAGCCAGTAGATCCTTTCCAAGGAAAAAAAGAAATCAGGTCCCCGAGGATGCGCGATCGCCTCTGACGGACGAAACGGTCCTTGTGTTTATGTTCATATGGATTTGCTTTGCGCTCCCGATATGCAGCGCTGTTCCGTTTGGCCACCATCAACCGCCAAACCCCCCCGTAGGCCGGAGCATCCGCCAGCCTACCAGCTAGCTTAGCCTAGCAGCTAGCTTAGCCTAGCGGCGCGTTTTCCTCTCATTCCTCTGCACATGTCGCGCCTGTTTTACTTCCAATGCAAAACGCTCTCCATCTCCAACGAACGTCTTCGCTGCAGCGCTTTCGTTTTCCTCCACGTTGACCTTCATGCCCACAGACATGAACGTTAGCTTGTTTAAGCTGCACAACATTTAAAGAAAATACTGCTTCATTGATCTTCTTCTCCGTGACTCCTCCCCCTTTTCCCGGCCACGGCGGCGCCCATCGTACCTGAAGCAGCGCTGTGGTTCAGGTAGGAATCAACGTAAGCCCCTCCCCTTCCATCTCATAGCATTAGCTGTGTGGAGCTGCTTGTTGGAGATGTTTTATAATTGGAAGCGTCTTCTTCATCTCAGGAAGCAGAGTGTCTAAATGAAACCGCTGTACACCGGGATCAGATCGTGTGTGTGTGTTTAGTAATTCATCACCCAAACTGAAGCGGCTCCCGGGGCCGCTCGTATCTGGGCTTCATTTCTGTCTTCAGCCGCGCTGCTTTATTTCCCGCACAGAAACACGTCTCTCGCTCGTGATGGAATCCGTGACGCCTCCGAGACGCTGCTACGTCACTTGGGTTTGGGCATTTGTTTCTTCAACGGAACTACCTGGAGAGGAAAGGGACACTCACCTCCAACGTCTCCCTACAGACCAGCTACATCGTCCCTTTGAGGCTGTTTTATAGTATCTTGTGTAAAAGTAGGAATTGGGACATTTTAACCAGGAAACTCTTTGGTGAGGAAGAGCTCGTGTCTGACACAATGACAACATTTATCCAAGACCTCCATCTGTGGCTCAGCGCGTCACCTGAAGACGACCCGGAGAGACACTGGTCCCGAGCTGGAGACATCGAGGGAGAGGAGACAAAACACGTGTCCCCTTCAGGTTGAGGAGATGCAATGATGCCGTTTCAACACAACGAGCCAGCTCCCAAAACAACAACAACAACGGAAACAACGTTTGCATCCCTTACGTTTCAAGCTGCCGGGTGGAGGAGGACGGCGTGTTACGGCAGTCCGGTGGAGCCTCCACCTTCAGGGTGACCTCTGACATCAGTGGTGTCCGATCGGGAGAGCCTCTCCGTAGAAGGTCCAACGTCCGGTGGAGAAGAGGAGTTGCTGAGACCTTCTGGGTTTTCAAATGCTCAGAGGACCACAGACGGAGAAGAGCCTCCTCTGCAGGAGCCGTTCTTCACACCACACGGACATGAAGCCTCCATCTGGTTCTGAAGTACCAGGGGAACAGGAGAAAGGAAAAGGTCACGGCCTTTGAGGAGCGGCAAACAAACTACATCTGTACCTGTAAGAGAAGATCTATTTCAACAGCTGTAACCTTTTAGAAGAAAAACGTTGCTCACAGAAAAGAGGAAGAGAAGAACCCAACAAAGACAAAGAATAACGTGATTACAGTTTTTCTGATTGCTTAAGCCAGAGCCTGGTTTCAAATGGGTTCTTTGGTTCTCCACCAGCTCCCAACCAGTAAAAGTGCTTCTTAAGTAGCACCATCTCATTGCTGGTCTAGAAGTAAGAAGCGCTTACGTCAGCGGCTGGGGCGGGGTTACCGTGACCAACAAGACGAGAGAAACTTTGTGATCCGCCATGTTTTCGCTAGCAGCTAATCGAGCTAACAACAACACAATGGACGCTACTAGGCAAAAAGGCGAGCCGCGCGAACACGTTTGATCCGCCGTGTTTGGATGTCGCCATTGTTGATGATGTGTTTGCGTTTGGCGCCGCCGCGCTAACGTTGCTGGGAAAGATGAGACGTAACCGTGACGCAGGACTTGGCTCTGCGCTCAGTGCGCTGGTGGAACAGCAAACCAGTTCTTTGGAGGCTCGTCAGTTAAACCAACTCCGAACCGGCTCTAGCTCCGGCTCCGAACCAGCACCTGGTTCTTGTTGGTGGAAAAGGGGCATCCTTGAATGCCGTATCCAGGCCTGACATGATGGCTGGTCGATATCTCCACATGCCTCCTCCATTGCCTGTCAAAGGGCTACCTGTTGATGAGGATGACGGTCGTACACCTTCCAGCGCCAGGCAGAGAAGAACTCCTCCATGGGATTTAAGAGTGGAGAGTATGGAGGGAGGTTGAGTGCCATGAAGAATGGGGGGGTCTGTAAACCAGTTGCGGACCAAAGCAGCCCTATGGAGGCGGACATTGTCCCATATGATGACATATGGGGTATGCTCTGGTCTCTGAACAGTGAGCATGTCATGTAAGGTGTCCAGGAATGCAGTAATGTGTGCAGTGTTGTACGGGCCTATGGTTGCATGATGGTGAACAACACCATTTTGGCTTATAGCTGCACACATGGTTATGTTACCACCACGTTGTCCTGGGACATTGATGATGGCACGGTGTCCAATAACGTTCCTGCCACGTCTCCTGCTTTTACCGAGGTTAAAACCGGCCGAATCTACAAAAAGTAGCTCATGTCCGATGGCATCTGCTTCTAGTTCCATCACTCTCTGGACAAGAGAGCAACACATCAGGCCCACGCACAGCACTACGGTATGCACGTCCACATTCAGAACCAATGACACTATCGCTCACCTGCAGAGTCATATCGCAGTTGCTTTACACGTTCTGTGTTTCTCTTGAAAGGAACTCTGTAAATTTGCTTCATTCTAATTCTGTGGCGTAGTACAGAAGTGCAGAAATGCTTACTATGTGTATATTTGGAGAGATGGTGTCATTATCAATTATGCGCTGCTGTATTTCGCGGAGTCTCATTGCATTATTGGCAATCACCATGTTCACTACGTGGGTCTCTTGCTCTGGAGTGAACATTCTTCCTCTGCCCCCAACATCTGGACGTCTAGCAATTCTGTAAAGTAACAATCTCAGTATTTATGGTATTATGTGTGGTACTGTTGTGGTTCTCATCAGAGTACGGCAGTGCTACAAAGTCCCGATCCTCATTTTGAAATGTCCTCATGATGCTCGCCACAGTGTGGCGGCTCAAATTAGGCTGAACCCGTTGGCCGGCTCCCCTCGGGGTCATCCCACGGTTCATGACATGGTCCACTATTGTAGCTCTGATATTTCTTACTCTTCTTACTCTTGCTCTTTCCCCTCCTTGTCCTCTTCCTCCCTCTGGCTTCTTCCCCTCCTCGTCCTCTTCCTCCCTCTGGCTTCTTCCCCTCCTCGTCTTCTCCCTCGGCCTCCTCTGGTTCTCTCTTGCTGCTCCTTCCATTGTCCTCCACACAGACAGCTCACCTGTGT